TCAAGATAGAGTGTAACCATTCTGATTGACGCAAAAACAATTCTTTATCTGGCGTGATCCAATAACATCTCTCTAAATTAGAATAGTAAGGTCGAATAACAAGTCCACAATTGTGCAAAGGATTAATATAAACATCCGAAAAAAGTAAGGGTCATAAAATTTTGGACCCAATAAATTGGCATGGCCATGGGAGACAAAACAACAGGAATTCATTATCATCTTAAAAGAAGAGACCTACAAAATTGCAAACAAAACACAAGTTAATCGCATGCTTTATTTACTCCCAAATTAAATTGATTACACTTACCACACAAAAAATTTCAAAGCTTCATAGGCGGGCAAATGTTTCAGATTTACAGAGAACATTGATCATTTACCTTAGATAAATGAGAAGAATAAATCCCAGACATTGTGTGGGACTAATTTCATTCTACACTGATTTTCGAAAGTCCAAAACATATGCTGGTTTAAGGAATTCCACACACAAACAAAGGATATCCTTAAAGTAGCGGCCTTTCATTAAACACTGAACAAACCTATGCTCAAAATCAGGCTCTGGCCGCGATTCTTCACCCAGATGTTAATCGCAAAAAAGGGTACAACTAGATATGAAGTAAAAACCATACCTGTCTGGCTGGTGCTCCAATAGTTCCAAAAAACAAAGGAACTCCAAATAAAGCGCCCAGCCCTGTCACAAAAAATCACAGGATGAAATTCAACAAGCTCATAGCTTGAAAGTATATGCTTCTCTAACGGTATCGGCAATATGGGGCAATCCGCCTCATGCTTGCATCACCCATTGAAGGTCATTTAATTCTAAGCCCAACCCCTTAATTCTCCTTCCGCAAAAACCTTCGGAAAAATTCCAAAGAGACTGACACTTGCGTATCAGAATTATCCAACAACGGGCGGACCACTTTGCCTGATTTGTTTGCACATGCATATGAAGATAAGGCTCTACTTAGTGGTATTTGCTGTGTTGTGTGTTTTGGGATCACATATACGCGGCACACAATAAAGATAAGCTTTAGTAAAATGTGTTTATTGGACACGTTCATATAAACCAAAGGAAAGAATGGTTATTTGACAACTCGTCAAAAAGGTATTAGGGTAGATAACTTTGGATCTAAATAAGGAAAGGATTTTGAAAAGTAAATTTAAGGCCATTAAAAGGCGACAAATAATGATTACAGATTCTGATTAAATCCTGCCTCAAATGACTGGTGGACGCATATGTTATAGCGCATAACCCAGGAAAAGAAGCAACTGAGGGGACCAAGCGGGGGGGGACAAAAATGCAGACATAAACTAGGATACACTTACTATTAATAGAAGTTAGGCTTTTCATTTTCCCAAATGATTATAGCATCACATTAATTCAATTCCGGGATCTAAATTTTCAAGAGTCAATTTTTTTCTTACAGTTTCTTCCCTGGGCTGAACTTCAAGCAACATCTGGGACCAAAAATGCCACCTCAGGAAACAATAAGACTTCAAACAGCTAAGATAGACTGGACAGCCTATCATTTGATCCCAAGACTGTCCGCAACAATCCAGTAACGAGTAGAGGGCCCACTATACAATCCCATAAACCCAACCAGCCTTCCTAAATAGGCCTAAAAAAACCTAAACGATATTATTCAACAACTAATCGCCAAACTATGACAAACGCTATGAAAATTTGTAAAAATTCCCACAAAAAATTAATTGGGGGGGAAAAAAGACATGCCAATAATCTGCAAATATTCCAAGGCAAAAAATAAACCCAAACCTTCGGGAAAAAGCAAAAGGAAGAGGGGAAATAACCAAAAAGGGGAAAAGAAACTAAACAACCCCCTCAAGTGTTTCCAAACACAGCAAAACTAGCAAATATGTCATTCCATGTGGATTAGGCGGACCTTTTCATAACCAGCTAAGTAAAGGAATCAGCGGATTTTGGAATTAAGTTATTTGGAACAATATTTTTTCCCTTGTGGAACTTCATCTTAAAAGAAACAACCTTACATACAGAGTAAAAAAGGGGTGTATGGGGCGATCTCACAGTTCGCATATCATTAGGTAATTTACGATGGAGTATGCCTCCAGCACATTTTAGACTCAGCACTGCCGAAAGGATCTCGTATCTAGCATTCTTCGATGCTAAGAGCTAAGCAATTGTCTAATGAGTCACTGCATTACTATAACAGATCAACTTCAATAGGATGTGCTAACATTACTTAGTCGTTAAAAAAACTCAGTTCGGGTACAAAACAGAATATTGAGGAGAAACTACAAAATATTTATTTTACCTCGGTATAATGTGATGGACGGAACTTTATGGACACTTGGTGCAATCTATTTCAGGTGGTTTTGCACAGCATCAAATATGCATTTTCTAACAAGGGTGCTATGCCCGCGGGATTTTCCAAATTTTGGACATTTTTCTACACAAAGTCGCATACAATATCTTCTAGCATCCGTTAGCCTAATCCGTACAAGCAGTTTCAGGAGGACCGATTACTAAGGAAATACTGGGCCACTTGGTTCTCAAAGAAGATTTGGCAAGCCTTACAATTCACATGTTATGCATGCGTGAAATCATCTTAAAACAAGCCCTGTCAGGAAAAAGCCACATCAATTTGCCATATTGTAAATCAAAATAAACCATGTCGAAATTCTCCGTCTGGAAAATTTAACCTTACGATCGCAGACAGATAGATGGATTTTCCATCTTTCTAATGAAAATTGATCAGAACCACCAATAGAAGGGTTTACCACAAATAACAGGGGAAAAAAATTGGATAGCACATGTATTAACCAAATGATTCAGAGATGGCCCCAATATAAAATATAGATTAGCACATCTTTTCAAATGAATAGACAGACAAAAATGAGCGATGCATATATTATATATATAATATATTATATTAAATATATATATATATTTCTTTTTTTATTTCTTAAGTCAAACATTATTTAAAAGACACACGACGAGAAAGGAAAAACAGCGCAGGTAGTAGCAAACAACATTGGGATGATCATGCTAAGTCTCAACCATAGTTTAAAAGTCTTTTTAAATTGAGTTTCTATACTTTTAAAGAGATTGAAATTACTTTAAGTTATTTTCATAAAAAAACTAAAATAAATAAAAATATAAAACTCAATTAAGCTCCTGGAGCCCAACCAATACCCTTTCAAAACAACTTGAAAATTAAAGGGGGGCCAGGGGCGTGTTTGCTATGGCAATTTCTTAAACTTTGCTATAAAGTTCTCCCTAAATCACTGATATTCCCTGGCCATCTATTGTTCTCAATGTTTATCATTTGCATCTCTTTGCCAGGAAAATTTACGAATCTCCAACGATTTAGGAAATCACAAGCATGTTCTAAAAAAATTGCCAAATGAATACATAAGGAAAAAACAGACAGACAAAATATGCAAGATTTTAAAAGCCCCATCCTGCCGTTCAAAATTGACAAATACCATGCAAACAGGACCTTCTTACTCTATATTTTATCAAAGAAATTTCGAACTCCTTCCTCTAACATCTGTACAAAGCATTGGAAAGGCGGAGAATATCTCTTCCACATCTGGCAAGTTGCATAAACATGTCCTGGCACAACCATTCGTGTAGTAGCGTAATCCGGCACAGGGTAGCAGTTCCTAGGCGAGCATGTGCTCCTTAGTCAGGTACATTACAGAACGAACCATGCCGCTCATCAAGCTTTTTCCGCGCGTTGCGACTCGTTGAATTTTAAAATAACAAAAAACTCCAACTGCCAAAACAGTGACACATTCTACCCACAAAAATTTAAAGATATCATTTTAAAGAGGTGCCTCAATTTTTTTCGTTAAGGAAAAAGGGTTTACTATAAAAACAAACATCAACAGGTCTTTGTGGCAAGGGCCCGCCAGGCCAGTACTTGATTACAAAGGGTTCAACTGTTGCATTTTCCAATGAGACTCACAGAAACTAAACACAACAGGAAGGCCTCTTCGCCCGTAAAGCAATCCAAAGTTTAGTCCCTGCCTTCCAAGGGAGCCCTTTGAGTTTTTCTCCTTCTGTTTCCACTGGCGTCCTTTTTTCGCCTCTTGGTCCATCCTTTTTTGCTTTAATACCTTTCTCCTTCTTTTCTGGATATTCTTTAGCTTTTTCTTTCGCTTGGGTTATCTTCTTTTGCTTTTCCCTTATCTTCACACGTTTCTTCCCAATGTCTTTTTTCCCTCCTTGGCCAGAACAGTTACGCTCAGAGACCTCTTACCAGGGATAGGCCTCTGCGTATCTTGGAGTACGATTTTTGGCTTGATCCGGCATTTCACGGGTTAGGCTACCCTACCTTTCAACATATAACCAAATCAAGTTAAGATCACAAAAATAAATAAATATAATCTAAACCTTTCTTTATTGGAAGATACAAGCTATGCATAAAGGGTGGCAACTTTCCATGGGGAGATACAAGCTCCCAAAACAAGAAATTAATACCAAATAGAAGATAAAACAAAAAATTCCAAAAATGGATCAAATTTTAAAAAATGCTGTTTTGCCGGAATTTTTTTTTTGGTATCATGGCTGGATAAAGAGTAGGAAAAGGGCCCAGATTGGAATAGGAGATGCTGGTAAATTCTTATGCTACAAACAATTTTTATCTCTTATTACCAGCAAAACTTCAAAGGCTTTTTCGGGTCTGGGGAATTGTTAATTCTTTTTGGGAGCCCCTTTTTTTAACGGTTTTACACAGCAAAAAAAAAAAAAAAACCTCTCGCTCTCGCTTTTTTCCTTGTTAAAACCATGGTCTACCTAACCAAATAAAAGTGGGACAAAACAAAATCAATAAGGCCCTTTTCCGCCCAACACCATTCGTCTTGCTAAAACTCCTCAAACGAAAAGCACATTCTAAGCTGAATAAATATACATGGAGGCCAACCAATTTGGACTCATTAACAGAAGAAAGTTGGGAGGAATGTCAGGCGAAAAAACAAACACAGAAGCATATAAATTATAAAAGAGAAAGGAAGAAAGGAAACAGAGAGTAGAACAACATGATGATCATTGCTAGTCTCACATAGTTACAAAGTCTTAATTGAGTTCAATACTTAAAGATTGAAATTTTTAAGTATTTCATAAAAAAACTAAAATAAATAAAAATATAAAAATCAATAAGCTCCTGGCACATACCTTCAAACAACTGAAAATAAGGCCAGGCGGTGCAATTCTAAATTTGCAAAGTTCTCCCAAAAATCTGATATTCCTGATCTTTGTTTCAATGTTCATTTGATCCTGCAGAAAATTACAATCCAAGATTAAAATCACAATGTTCTAAAAAATGCAAATGAATACATAAGGAAAACAGACAGACAAAATATGAATTAAAGCCACTCCTCCGTTCAAATGAAAAGTACCATGCAAAACAGACCTTCTTATTTATCAAGAAATTGAACTCCTCCTCTAACATCTGTACAAGCATGGAAGAGATATCCTTCATGCAAGTTGATAATGTGGCAACCATTCGTGAGTAGTATGGTAGCAGTTCTAGAGATGTCCTGGGTACATTAAACAATGCCCTCACAAGCTTTTTCCGGTTGGACTTTGAATTTAAATAACAAAACTCAACCTGCCAAAAAAGTGACAATACCACAAAAATAAGATATTCATTAAAGAGGTGCTCAATTTTTTTGTTTAAAGAAAAGGTTATATAAAACATCAAGTCTTGTGAAGGCAGCAGTATGATTACAGTTAATTGATCAATGAGATCACGACTAACACAACCAGGGAGCCTCTGCAGTAAAGCATCCAAGTTTGTCCCTTCAAGACCTTTGAGTTTCTCCTTGTCACTGTCTCCTTTTTTCTCTGCATCCTTTTCTTTACCTTTCTCTTTTTCTGGATCTTTAGCTTTTTCCTTGTCCTTTTCTTCCTTATCCTTCACTTTCTCAATGCTTTTTCCCTCCTGCAGAGTACCAGAATCTACAGATAGCTCTGCAGTATCTTGAGTAGATTGGCCTTGATCGGATTCAGGTGCTACCTCCTTCAAACAAATCAATTAAGAAAAAATAAATAAATAACTAACCTTCTTTTGAACAAGTATGCATAAGCAATCTCATGGAGAACAGCCCAACAAATAATACAATAGAAGAAACAAATCAAAATGATCAAATTTAAAATGCTGTTTTGCCGAATTTTTTTGTATATGGCTGAAAGATAGAGCCAGATGGAAGGAGATGGTAAATTCTTATGCTAAAAATTAATCTCTACCAAAAACTTCAGTTTGTTGGAATTGTATTTTTCTGACCTTTTTTAAGTTTTACAAAAAAAAAAAAAAAATTGATTGCTTTTGGTAAACCATGGTTCTACTGAAAAAGTGACAAAATCAAGCCTTTTCCAAACCATGTTTTTCTAAACTCTCAAAAGCAATCTAACTGAATAATACATGGAGCCACAATGATCATACAGAAAAAGTGGAGGAAAACAGAAGCAATAGACTGATGACGACTCAGGATACTGCTTGACATCTTTCCACTGAAATCATACAAGAAATTTGGCAATGTTTGTTCCATCATTTTTTTTTTCTTTTTGCCACTGTAGTTATCCTAAAAATAACCTAAGCCGGTTACATAACTTAAAAGAGTTTTGAATCCTTACATTTGGTTGCTCTTGAGCCTTTGCAGATTGTTCATTCGCTTTGGGCTCTGCTTCTCCCAACAATACTGCTGGAACAAATGCTCTAAAAAGAACATACAGCATGAATTACTTAAATTTTTAAGCTAAATTAACTATTCATCAAACTGACACTTTAATTAAGAGTGCGCACACAGATAGATTATCCAATCCCACCAAACCTGAGATCTGGTAAGCATTCATAAAATGCTCTAGTATCTTCATCATCCCATAAAGCTTCAAGAATAGAAGAATCTTTCCCAGCAGCAGGTGAGGAAACATCCTCACCAGTAGTAACCCTGGTTGTGTGGCCATCTTCTGGCATCACTGGAGGTTGCATGTCAAGTGCTTCAGCCAAACTGCACATGAACAGTCTATTTATTAATGATAAAAGACATGAAGCAGAAATAATACAAGATCAGAAAGTGATACTAATTTCAAGCTTTTTAGTCAGTAAAAAGCACAGGAATGCAAGCACAGGTTGACATGATGCAAGTACTGGTGTAGCAAACATGCAACTAAAACATAAAAAAGTCACAGTTGCTAAGAATGCAGCTAACCTGCCTTTGAGCCTCTCAGTCTGTACATGTTATAATTCAAGTCTATAGAACACCAACAATCCAACATCCATGCAATTGTGAAAACCTCACATCCTCAGATATTTTCAACTTAAAAAGCACTTGAAAGTATCTTTATCCTTTGTTGATGGATCAGGAAAGCATTGGCCCATGGAAACAAAGATTTCGGCCAACAACAAAAGCAAATGTAGAATTTACATCATATGGTATAACTTGTATTCACGGAAGCGGCCCCCACCCCACCTAATCAAAATTTTTTTAAAAATTTACCCCATAAAAATAATGAAAATTTTTAAATTTACTCTCTAAAATAGTAAATTTTTTATTTTTTTTGCCCTTTAACTCTTAAATTTTTTTTTAGCCACCCTTAGCTTTGATTTCTCACTCTGTCACTACCCTTGGTCCTGCTCTACTAAGCAACTGAGCTTATAATAATATTTGGAAAGCCTATGCTATGGCAACCAGACCAGGGGATTTTTTCGTCTGAATTCACCTCAAACTTTTTTCATATTAGTGTCAGCAATTCAGCAATCTTCAAGACTTCTGTTTATAATTCTATTACATCCTAAAGCAATAAGAGATATTCTTTCCACACATTTATAGACTGGCTTGTCGCTTTCATTCGTTCAGCAGACATAACCTCTATCTAAAATCATTGTTCCTGATACTAATGCCAGTTATGAGACAATGACATAAAAATTTTCATCATGTAATTGGTGGAAAGGTGAGTTGTCTACAGAGTGAGATACTAAATTAAGGGAAGCGGGGGACCATGGAGGTGGAGAAGGGGTGAATTTATTCGTAGGAACGGACAAAAAGTAACTCCTATTGTATGCTTTGATTTTTTGAAACATGAATCTCACTTCTGGAATGGACTCTCCACTTATCTAGCCATATATTTAATTATCATAGGGAATCAACAAAAATTAACTCCTTTGTTACGCATCGATTTTTTAAAGCACGGATCTAACTGTAGGAATGGAATCCACTTATCTAGCCACTATCAGCATAGATATAAGAATAAAATGAAATCAATAAGAAAACTTACGATGACACATTGCGATACAAGTGGTCATAGGATTTCCGAAGTTTCTCATAAGATGAAACATTTTCCTCACTGAGTTCTCCTTTAGCGTTCAAAATCTTTGCATTTTCATGCTCCATTTGGCGAAGAGACTGTTAAAAAAATAAAAAAACCTGACGATCACAGACATTACAAACAAGAAGAAGTAACAAAGACTATAAATAATAGGCACCGAAAGAAATAAAATTCTACATAAAACCAGAGTCTATCAGGATCAAGAGGAAATATACAAAATGACTCTAAAGTCAGCCAAAAAGGCAGAAAAACTCTTACAGCATGCTCAGACTGAAGTAGTTCAGATACACAATCAAAATATGTAGTAAAGGCCTTTCTGAATATTTTCTTTTGATCTGCTGTGATGTTAAGGCCCTTGAAAAACTGTAACAAAATGTCAGAAAATAAACTATAGATTAGGACAAGAATGGCAAGGTAAGGTGATTTTGAATACAATTAAATTCCTATAGAATGAAATTACTAAACTGGAGTGTGTTAGAAATACCACCAAAATAACAAAGGAGAGAACAAGAATAACGTCTAAAGAAATTCCACCACTAATATAATATGAATAGCAATATGACATAAAATAATTAAAAATGAAAGACCGGCAGAAATATATACCTCCTCATGAATTTCTTGTCCAGAGAGAGAAAGTCCTAGGAAAACTCTCCCTTGACGAGCAAAACTGGCAAGAAGAGTAAGATTTGTTTGAGTAGCATCCCGGTCCTTCAAGTGTTCCACACTAGTAAGATCCTTGATAATATTGATGAAAATACTGCTGTCTTCTATAACTCCAACAAAGTAAAGTTCTAACAACAGTTTCAAGGTGCTCCGCTTCTTCATAGCTTTTGAGTTCCTATCCACATCCAAGTCTTCACCTGCCTTTCCAGGAAAAAAGACCTTCAAGAGCCCTTGTACAAGGCTTGGTGAGAAGTCCTTGTACCTTTGATGGAGCAAAGAGCATATCTTCACAAGACAGACATGTCAGATCATATAATAGAGCAGGCAAAGTTGGAAAAGGCTATTATGCTTCGACTGCAATAATACAGAAGTGCACCTTCCAGTACATAAGTTAGAACTTGCACAGCTTATGATGCAAAACAAATAAGCAAAAAATTACTGAAGAAAACGTGAATGTTGATTACTTTCTAATAAGAACTTCACAAAGTACAACTCAAAATTAATGCATGCTAAACCAATAAAACACACAATAACAATCAAAAAAAAAAAAAAAAAAAAAAAAAAAAAAAAAAAGTTACAAGGGTAAACTCTTGGCTCGCAGGCAGTCCTCTTGTACCTTTGATGGAGCAGAACGAGCACTTACTTCTTCCACTCGAATGACAGACTATTGTCAGATCTTATACTAACTTAGCCAGCAGGCCAATCTGTCGACAAAAGGCTATTATCGCTCTTCGACTGCAAGGTTACATGAAGTGCACACTTCCCAGTACACTCGCTCTCAAGAGACCCTCTCGCAACAAGAGCTTAGTAGATTGCTCATACATTCTACCTAACGTTTGCAAAAAAATGTACTTGATAAGACACTACTACCGTGTGAATTAAGTTTGGGCAGTTAGCGTACCTAGCTCTAATAAGAGTAAGCATATCACTAATTGAGATCTACATACCAATCAAAATTAATGCCACAATGCTGAAACCAAAATCACAAAAACCGTAACGCCTTAGCCTCACGCTTCTTTAAAACACACAAATAAACATAGTCAATAAAAAAAAAAAAAACAAAAAAAAACAAAATAAAAAAAAAGTCCATCATTGGCTCACACAATTCACAACTATCCCAGACACAGAGAAAGCTTGCAAGCCCCAAAAAAACCATTAGAATTCAGTTCAATGAATGGCGCCGCAAATGAAGTTCAGGGCATACCATGGATCTTCTGTAAAAAAAAAAAAAAAAAAAAAAAAAAAAAAAAAAAAAATCCATCATGCTCACACAATCAACTATCCAGACACAGAGAAAGCTTGCAAGCAAAAACCCATAGATGTTAAGAATGGATGAAGTTCAGATTAACAAATAAAAAATTAGAACATTGAACCAACAAAGTGCACTTTGGACAGTGATAGATCACCAATGCACTATTAAAATATTGGCACAAAAGACAGTAAAAAGATAGATAATTTAACAGACGCTTCTACAAGAACAGCAATAAACATTAGATATTTTTGCCGCAGATGACTTCATGGTCTTGAGTATGCAGTCACCTAAATAACATTCTGACAAGTATTTGGATAAATAAAGTCAGAAGGGAAGCAAGGATTACAGACTGTTTTAACTAGTTACGTTCATACAGGCCCTACATAATGCGATTGAGACATGAAGGAAGTTCAACACATGACAGTAACAGGTAGCATCTATAGAAAATGTCAGTTTAGAACCATAAGCTACCTGCACTGCAGCCTGTATGTCAGAAGATCGAAGCTTTGCATCACAAATAGCTGTCACAGCTTCACTGACAAATTTACTAAGGTTGACGTTTCGCAATTCATCCATTAGCCCTTCCCTCTGCTCTTCATTTATTTGCTTTAATTTTTTAATAACTGCTGTATTCCGTTTAATGCTTGAGTCCAAAGTCCTGAGGAATCCTGAATCTGGTGGTAGCAATAACTTGATTAGTATTTGTGGAGCATTAACCATGTCAAAAGAAAAAAACTTACTCTGCTAAGAAGTGTATATCTACATCAATTTATTAAAATATAGCAAAGTACAATATATTGGAATGACTAGATAGTAGGAGTCAATTTCAAGAGAACTACAGACACTCTCAATCATGCATGGACTCCAATACAAATTAAGGAAATCAAGTTTTGTTGAAAACAGGCCTAAAGTTACTTGATTGAAAGGTTTTAACATTTAATTCCCAATTCTCAGAAACCCACAATCCACTCAGTCAAAATTAAAATCCACGTAGATATGTTTGTTTCTAGACCCAAATTTAAATTGTGGTGGACAGACTTGTTTTATGCAAAAACAATAGAAACCATTAAATCCAAAATGCAATCATTAAAAAAGATAAGAATAAAAATATTAAGATTTATTTTGAAATTCTATAAGGTCCCTATAAATCAGAACAACATTTTATATTGAAAAAAAAAAAGTCTTGTTGTGTTATCGTTGCTGGTCAAAATTCCTAATTTTTTTAAACAAAAAAGAGAGACACAATATGGATCTGTCAAAACAAGACAAGATGAACCAATTTAGTTCACTCTAAATCCACTAACATGTACTTTAAGAAAGGTTGTTGCAAAAGACAGATTTGGTTAATGTGATAATGCTGGAGTTCATAGGATTGATATCGAGTATTAGAGGATGAACTGAGGCTAGATATAAAAAAGTTTTAGTGCTCAAATTTATGGACAATGATGAATATCAGAAATGATGTGCGAAGGGAAGAGAGAGAGAGAGAGAGAGAGATAGAGATCAAACTAGTTACTTATGTTTCAAAAAGCACATCAAAATGCTTCCCCATTCCAGTATAATTGACGCTAATTTCTACAAATCACTAGAAGACGTTAAATTTGATTTTTAAGTACCACAAAAACGTAAGGGAAAATTGAATAAGGACAAACTTAAAAATTAAAAATGCATATCATATATAAAAAATCCAAAAATCAAGTTTCTCTTCTAATGGCTCATCAAAGACAACTCGGTGACTTTTTAATTAATGAAAGGAATCACAATGTGATAACAGCATCCCATGCATGTGGTACAATTTTTAAATTATCAACTCATCTCTACCAGCTCGAACAGGTTCATCCTCTACTACTCCAACATATTGAAGGAGATGCTGAAGTCTTTCATTTAATATTATAAAATAACAAAAATCAAATGCTCAGCCTAATAGAGAGTAGTTAAGGCAAAAATATATCCAAGTTTCAATCCACAATACTAAGTCCCTACAGATTTTAAGTCTCAAAAAAATGGTGCTAAGTGGTTTCCTAAAATAAATCTATACAGAATTTTGAAATGTAGGAAATTTTTATGGTTGCATTAAAGATAAGAAAATGATATACACTTACGAAACAGCATAACAAATGGACCACCAAATAAAACCCTATCACTTGAAAATTTTAATTAACAGCCAATATTTAAAGCAATAAGAAGTATTATAAGCTCAATTTCATCAAACATAAATTAACTAAGTTAACAAATTCAATACAACTAGTCATAAATTATAAATCTCATCCATATCAGCAATTAATCAACTACTAATTTATCATCAGAAACCTAAAATATTACTGACCAGGCCTTTCAGGATTCAGATTGCTCTGACGAAGAGCAGCTTTCACTTCAATTGATTTCTTAATTTCCTCAAGTCGAGCAACAGCTTCCTGAAAAAGAAAAACAACAATCATCTTCTCAAAAGAACTTCAACAAAGACACTCTTCACCCAGAATAATAATAATAATAATAAATAAATAAATAAATAAATAAAGAGCAAACAGCAAATTTTCTCACACAAACACATATACACTCCTCTACCAAATCTAGAAAAATAACCCCTCTTATTAACATCACCCTCAGTTTCAGAAAGCGAGTCTAATCAATCCCCACAGTTACTAAACATGTAAATTAACAACATAAAAAAAATAAAAAAATTACAATTTAGAACAAAAATTTTAAATTAAAACAGAAAAAACTCACCCCATCATCTTGCTTGGCCTGTTGTTCACCTCCAACACGGCACTCATCCTCGTGGCTATCCATGTCTAGTGATCAATTAATTGTATTCGCAAAAAGAAACTTATTTCTGTATCAAAATCCGCTTGGTTAACAGTATCAAGTATTAAAGCACTTCAATTTGAACGAGAAAATCCTTAAAAAAGATACTGATTTGCAGAACAATCGAAAAGCACTAAATACGAAGAAAAAACCTACATTATCCTACTCGATCCTCTCATCAACATGCATCACGTGCATATATAAAGAGAGAGTGTGACATGTAAGCATGAATATTTATGTAAAGATGCATAGGATTATGGCCTACCTGATCGGAGATTGAACCGTGAAGTTACCGGCGAAGTAAAGAATTCACTCTAGAGAGAGAGAGAGAGAGAGAGAGAGGGGGGGGGGGGGGGGGGAAGTAAAGAATTCAACTTAGAGAGAGAGAGAGAGAGAGAGAGAGGGGGGGGGGAGGGGGCCCCGGTTCCTGAAGCCCAGGAGTCGTTTGGGTCAGAGAAATGGGGGGGGGAGGGGGCCGGTTCCTGAAGCCCAGGAGTCGTTGGGTCAGAGAAATGAACCCTCGAATTTGAGAACCGACTTGGTTAACCCGATGGTTCAGGCTTCAGATTTCCTATCACGGGTCAACCCGTTTTGACGGGATAGAGAGGAATTGTGAGGGGGAGGAAAAAACAACTGGGCCTCCCTAATTAAAGTTCGGGCTCCTTTCCTAGTAAACCTAGCCCATAATCTGTTAAATTATGCCTAACCATTTTTTTTTTTGTTGAAAGAACCAAAAATAATTAATACAACGGTATTTGAGGAACTCAAGCTTAATGCAATTTCCAATATATATATTTACATATTATTACTTACTAAATTAAATGTGGAGATGAAAAAAAAAAGGAAAATTTGTTTTTTCATTATATAATATTTGAGAGTACTTGGCTTAAAATATATGATTTTAAAATTCAATCCAACCCAATTGAATCAATAATTAATTCAACTAAATTTGAATAGGTTTTAATGAATTTAAATGGGTTGATCATAACTGATATATTTACTAAAAAATTATTAGTAAAAAGAAATTTTATTTTGAAAATATTTGTTGTGAATACGGAATCTACCAAACACATAACATGGTGAATATCAAAATATTAACCACTAGCATATTCAAGTTGTTGTGCTAAATTGCTTAAACAAATTAGTTTAATGTTTTATGAAAGTCACGTTTTTTCTTCAATTGCCAGGACATTCTTTATTCAGTATTGTCAATATAAATTGTAATTATAATTTATCCGTGAATTTATTTTAATAAATTTTATAAAATTTCAGTCCATGTTAATTCGTATATATAATTTTTAATAAAACTTACTAATTTTAAATTTTTATAATAATACGAAAATAATTATTTTGTCCCTGAGAATTTGCTGAAATTAATTAAATCATTATCACATCTTTGCATATTGGGTATCTAGTCTTTGGGGTTTCGTTCTATCACGACCTTCGAAACGACCTCAAACTAGGGTATAATCACTCAAACTCATGCTTTTCAATTAAGTTCAGTCCATTCGGCACTTTTAAAGCCTATTCCACGAATGACATATTAAAACTCTACCGTTCTAATCAACGGTAAAACTTCGTGTTCTCGAAACCTCATTCAAACGAGGTATGAATGCATACTTAGGATTTCAGCCTACGTGACAAGTCTCGGACCAATTAAAGTGGTCAGGATTTAGAGGAATGTGTGGAACGATCTAGAATCTTCAATCAATCAGGCTAGAGTCGAGCTTCCCTATGAATTATAGTTTCTATTTAAATTTATTCTTCAATGCTTTGTTCATATTGCCATGCATCAATAATCTGATATTCATGCAAAATAAATATTTTGATTAAATTGATTAAAGTCCAAACCATTGATTCACATGTATAAAATTAAAAATCTAGTCCCCGAACCAAATGATTAGAGGCTAGTTCATTTATCTTTGTGGCAAATTAAAATTGGAGTAATTCACAAGGTCTCACCTTATATTTTCTCTAAAAACAAAAACAAAATAAGGTGGCGATTCAAATTACATCCAAATGTGTTTTAAGAGCCAAATAAAAGAACCATAAGAGTTCTTCCGATCCGTGAGAAATCAACCAATGAGCCTTTCTGGATCGACCCATCCTTCAAGCGTTCCCATAGTGCTTAGAAGGGGCCTTACAGCTGGCGACTCTATTGGGGACGTGACATTTGTTGAAAACTAAAAAATGTCAAAAGTGGACTACCGATTAGGTTTTGAATCTCTAGTTTGGAAATTAATTAAATTAATCACCTTGCATTCATCAAATGCATCATTTAGGGATCTTTTTCTATCATTATACTTAAGCTACCGATCCTTTCGATAGAGTAAAGTGTTTAGCGTACCACAATCTCTGCATTTGATATGATATGGTCAAATGGCAAAGTATATACTAACTTTGGCGATTAGGACCTTGAAACTGAACATATAAAAAACATGTAGCGACCCTAGAACTTGACTTTAGGTTGTATGCACCAAAATTAAACCATGAAACCATTTTTCAGCATGACATCTATGCATCCACGCGTTACACATCATGAACTAAGGAAACCCGAACCCATGATTAAACCCAAACACCAAACCCATGGTCCAGCTCCAACTTGAACCCATGGTCCAACCTCAAATTAAGCCCATGGTCAACCAAACCTGTAACACCCACCGGCTAATCCCGAAGAACCAGACGGCGGATGCCACAATCGCCAAAAATAGTAAATAAAATATTAAATATGCATAGTAATTTTTCCGGACTAAAATAATACCAAGATAGTAATAAAATATTTAAATATGCATCGTAATTTTTCGGACTAAAATAATACCAATCCGCGGACCGCGGACTAAAATAATACCAAGTCCCGGACCGATGGTACTATTCACAGACCGGTAAATCACTATTACCGACACTAAAAGAAAATCAGTCTGTTACAAAACCTATGGACCAACTTAAACAAACCCATGGTCCAAACCAAACCAAACTAAACCCATGGTCAACCTAAAACCATGGTCAAACTTAAACACCAAACCATGGTCAAGCCTAAACCCATGGTCAACTCTAAAACCTGTGGTCAAACTTAGATGCAAACCCTATCCGAGGAAACTTGTTTGATTTATAACATAACCTAAACACCATCCAAATCCTCAAATCTGACATGAGCACACCAAAAGTCTCAAATTTGACTTGAGAACACCAAAAGCCTCAAATCTGAGCTGAGCACACTCAAAGCCTCTGTGACATCCCGACCTGGCAAAGCGATCCTAAGAGGGCGGGTAGAGTAAAGCTCCTGGCTAACTGCCAGGATGGCAAGCTAGCAATGGATAGTGAAATGCAGGACACAAGAATAAATCGGATCATATATCGAAAAGGAAAAACTAATCATCAGAGGCGCCTTTCAGTGAAATGACTTGGAGAGTTGGAGGAACTCCAGGGTAACCTAGGATGGGTGACCTCCTAAGAAGTTTCCCATTCTACTTGTAGGACAAAACTGGCGGCTCTTGCTAATCCAATATGGGATGGATGGTTGAAGTCGGGCGTGACAATTGGCATCAGAGCCAGACCCCCTCTAATAGATGTATGGTTCGAGGACGAACCACGCAGAAGCTAGTGGGCCTGTAACATCCCAACCCGGCAAAAGGATCCTAGGAGGGCGGGTAGAGCAAAGCTCCTAGCTAGCTTATAGGATGATAGACTAGATATGGATAATGTAATGTGAGGCACATGAATGAATCGGATCATATATCGAAAAAAGGAAAACTAATCATCAGAGACGCCTTTTGGTGGAATAGCTTAAAAAGTTGGAAGAACTCCAGGGTTAAGCATGCTTGCTTAATTAAAAATCTAAGATGATTAACCTCCTAAGAAGTTTCCCATTTCACCTACAAGACAAAATCGTGCGAGTCTTGCTAATCAAATATGGGATAGAAGTGGCTTGATCAAAAGTGGACAATTCCTCTAGTGATTGGAGTCGAGCATGACAGCCTCATATTTGACCTAAGCACACTCAAAGCCTCAAACCTGACCCCAGCACAGTCAACGTGTGAAACCTGACCCAAACACACCAAAAGCTTCAGATTTGACCTGAGTACACTCAAAGCCTCAAATCTGACCCGAACACACCAAAAGCCTCATATTTGACCTCGGTACCTCAAAAAGCCTCAAACTTGACATGAGCATACCAAATGCCTCAAACCTGTCATGAGCACACCAATTATCAAAAGTCTCAAATCTGACCCAAGCATATTAAAAGCCTTAAATCTGACCTAAACACCCTATAGTTTTGAAAAGAGAGTATTTTATTTCTCTATATTATGTTATCTCTATACAATCTCTACTCTACTCTATATATAAACAAAAAATCGTTCCCATATAGGAAGAAATCTAAATAGGAAATAAACCTAAACTAGGAAAGACAATATTTACTCTAATTACAAATATTTCAATACTCCCCCTCAAGTTGGTGCATAGATATTACACATGCCCAATTTGCAAACTAAAGAATGAAACAACTTACTATTCAAACCCTTTGTAACATGCCTTTGTACTTGCTATTCAAACCCTTTGTAAAGAATGAAACCCTTGCTATACAATGAAATCTTATAACATGTCTTGTACTGTAATATCTAATTGAAAAGAAAATGATGTTTTTGTTTCTCCCTTTAATAAAAAAATTATATAATTTTATTATTAATTAATTATATAATTATATAATTTTTATTATTAATTAGAATTATATTAAATCACTACAATATTTGCATTTCACTACAAATTTGCATTTACCATACTGCAAAATATTTTATAATTTGGCGATGCTATAACATTAATCTAATAAATCAAGACTTACTATGCATAGCCATAATATAAAATATGGTCTTGATCTCCACATCAATTATTTTCGTCGAATGAGGTTAGACTGAAATTTAATCAATAACATGTAATATTTTGAACCATGTCTTTGCACAAAATCTAAAAATAAATTGCTTAAATTGCTTAAAGTTCTAAACTCCACATGGGAATCAATATGTAAAGTTATAAACAACAATATTGGTAGTCGAATGTACTTTATCAAGTTTAAAGAAGATATAAATGAGATTAAACTCAAAAATTATAAATCATATATAAAAAATATTTGAAAAAACATTAAAATTTTAAAGGTCTAATTATCTTTATATCTATTTAAAAAAATATATCCAACTAAATCATAGAAAAATTAAATAAAATTCCATAAATTTCAAAAATAAAAGAATAAAATATTGAATAAAAATAGAGCTCTTGAATTTTCTCTTCCTCTTTATTTCATTTTTTCAAATATAGGAAGTTTTAGAAAAATTAAATAAAATTCCATAAATTTCAAAAATAAAAGAAT